TTAAATGCTCTGGTAGACACACTGAAAAAGTAAGAAAAGATAGATAAATTACTTTTAGTATATCATAAAATATCAATGTAAAATCTGTATTAAACAAATGAAATATTTTAATTCTTGTTGTAATGAGTTTTTGAAAGTCTGAGTATTTAAAACTTATAGGACATCCCAATTCAGACTAACCATATTCCAAGTGTTCATCGGTCATGTATGGCTGATGGTTACCACATTGGACAAAGGAGAGCTAAAGGATTTTCTGATGTAAACAATTAAAACTTTATACTTTAGTTCCTACAATAGCTCTCACAATGCTTTAAAGATTGGTCCACATTTCTGAAGTATACCTGAAAAGCATTTCCTTGACTAACTCATCAAAAAGGTGGGTGTAATCACAGTTGTTACTTTTGTAAGCAGAGCAAAATAACTTATTTAAAAGAAAAAAAATTACATATTTATTACTTTTCAGTCATAAAGCACTTATCCCAACTTTAGTAAGTTTAAAAATAATCTTTGGATTAAAAGGAACTATTCCACATTTGGTACCTGCATTTATTAAGAAAGCCATGTCCCAAATACTACACAATGACTGGCAATAAATAAATGAATGAATAAATTATTAGATAAGACAAGGAAGAAATGGGAAAACAATTATTATTTATATACATGTAAACTTTAGATGATTTTGATAGAATATCTACGCAAAAAGGCAATGGACCGTGTTAAAAAGTAATGGGGTAAGGGTGGGGTGTAAGATTCATCAGTCCTGGTTCCAACTAAGGAACTAGAGGGGATTAGAAAAGTCAAAACAAACTTGAAATATTATTTCCCTTGGTTAGTTTAAGCTTAAGCCAATCAATCCTCTCTCTCCTTTTTGGAGGAGGCTGCATTATTATATACGAGTTGTGTGCTGTAGCTAAGGTGAATGCAATTGTATTAGCTACACTGGACTTGCTTAACCACACACAATCCCCATTCTAATCTCCTGCTTAAATTGCAGGCTTATTCTTTTTCCAATTCAGAGAAAGAAAGAGGAGGTGGAGAGGCAGGCAAGTTTCATCCCCCTTTCACCTCTGCTCTCACATTAAAACTGTCAAATGAAGCTTTCTCTAATCTCATGCCTCAAGCCTGAATGTTTATGTTTGATAAATATTATAATTTTATTTCTATATAAAATAAATTATGAAGCCTGATATTTAAATTAGCTAGTCATGGGCCAAACCTTTATAGAATTCTTTTCTAGTTCTGAATTTTATGACATTTGGCCAAGAAATGAACTGCCAAAAGTATACTCTATAGTTGTAAACCATATAGGCTATTTTATAGAACAGAAAACTGACCTTCGATTTGGGGATCAGCTGTGTTATTTCCTCACACACTGGGGGAACCACAGAATACAAGGCACTGTACTAGCTCGACATGAGGGGGTTAATAGGGCTCAGATTTTCTCAAACTCTTAAGACCCTCAGGTCCACTGCCAACCCCCTTATCTACATCTGTTCCAAATACAATCCTTTTACTTAAAAACAAACAAACCACTTGGAATACTGCTAAGTCAGTTGGTATTCAATGGGGAGAAAATGTTTGAGCACTAATCTCTCCAGAGTCCTTGGAAATCTAGGTAAGATAAAGCTGCTAGGATGGTGAGCTCCTCGAGGCAGTAGCTATGTCCAGCATGGAGGCAAATGGAAATGTAATTTTAATTTTTGCATTGGTGGTTTTTTTGGAAGTGAATATCATGTATACCCTACACCAGGTTCAGTAACAGTATCTGGCATGACCAACCTTAGTCAGCACTCTGGTAAGTGCTTTGGCACGGGCCACTGTTGCTAACCACCATCCTGGTGCAGGTCCTTCACATCTGCTCTCCTATGGATGGAAAAAAGGAAGTGTCTAGTGTCCATTTATTGGCCACATCACCTCCAGCCCTATCCTTAACTCACACGTGCCTTTCAATTCAGGCCCAGGAGAGAATGATTCCATTTCTGAGAAGGAAAGTTAATCAGATGAAGCTACAGTACACTTTGAGTGCAATGAAGACTTGGTGGGATGCAGGACATCCTTGGAGAACCAGCTGAGGGAGCTGACCAGCAGCACAATGCTGAAGAAAATGACCAGGAAGTATTCTGGCCAACACTGACTCTCACAGACAGACACAGTAGCACAGCAGACAAAGCAAAAGTCTTGAGTTCTGGAAAATGGAGTTCCTAGTCTCACTTTATTATGAAGCTAGAAAGAGAACGCATGTGAAATGTTTTGTAAACTGTTAAAGGAAATGGATTATCACCAGACATTAGTTTGGAAATGTTTGGGGAAATTCTTTGGGACTTGCTTCCCCCAATGATAAATTTGAAAATATATTAATCAAGTAATGATAAAACCACCTGAGCTCTTTAGAAGAAAGATGTAGTATGTGAATACCAAAGATTTATTTTAACCAGAGTAAGTTTCCCTCCACCCCGAATGAATGGTCATTTCTCCACCTGTCTATTAAATGCCTCTTACACTTTAAGCATCAGCACAAATGCTACCTTTCCTGTGAAACAATCCAGACAGAATGAACTCCTTTTCCTGGGTGCTTACAGTTCAACACAGACCTTATTTTGTCATTATATTCTAGAATAGATTTCCTTCACTAGAATGTGAGCTTTCTAGAGGCAGAGCTTGTCATGTTCACCAATCTCCCTCATCTTCCTAGCACAATGCCTTGCTAACATTAATAAATGTTCCTTGACTTGTACTGCATTTAGTCTACTTTGGCTTACGGCTTCTTGTTTACCTCAAAAAAACAAACAAACAAAAAAATAACAAAACCAAAACCAATAACAGTGAGAAGAGAGAAGAAACTTAAGACAAACATGTAAGATGCATAAAGAATGGCTTCATTCTTTGCATTC